GATAGCCTGGAAGAGACCCCCCCCGAAATGAGACCCCCCTCCCTTTATTACGAAATCTGGAGTACCCATTTCGGGCGTCCAGAGCCAGGACGCTTCGCCACTGCTCGAGCCACCCCGAGGTTCCCGCCAGGGACCCCCCAAGCAACCTCGGCCCTCCAAGGGGGGCGGAGAGGGGCGCCGGCAGCACGGGACGGGGAGGGTGGCGGGCTCCGCTCCCTGTTGGCAGCGGTCGCTGCCTCCGAAGCGGCGGCCGACACGGCTCCGGCGTGAGCGAAGTCTCGGCTCAAGCGAGACGGGCCCAAGCAGCCAGGGTGAAGGCCCCCGAGCGACCAGACCTCGATCTTATACCTCGGTGCCCAGACCCCCGACGCCGTGGCTTTTTCACAGCGTCGACCCCCGGACGTCTGGACCCCTTCCCCGGGACTGTGTTATCCTCCTGGCTCGCTTTTTGACGGTCCCGGGCCCGGGGAAGTGCCCCCCGGAGGACGACAATAGCGAAAAACCCTCCGTCGTGATTTTTTCACAGCGCGAGGCGATCTGGGTATACGGCCGTACTCGGGCCCCATCTTGGAGGCCACGGAGGCCTTCTCGGCAGCCTCCAGGAGGGCCCTGGTGCCGTCCACCGCCGGGCAGATCTGGAGCCTCTGCGCCTCCTCGAGGCTCGACGCCGGCACGCTGCCGTCCAGGGGGATGTGAATCGCACGGTGGAGGGAAGCAGCCACCCTCGAGATCCCTCGAGCCCATCGATCCCTTGAAATGGCCAGCTTGGACGTGGAACTGCCAGGGATCAGTTGGGTGCGGGAACGGGTGCGCGGAAGGGTGAACCACTGGGTGCGCGCACGGAGCGCGCAACTATCGCCTAGAACTAAACAGCTGCGGTTTTTGCTAGATCGAGGCTCCGCAAGGATGGTCGACTGCGGCCCCCTGTCCGTGCTGAGTCTCGAGGAGGAGGAGGGGGAGGAGGAGGGAGGGGGGAGGGAGTGGGAGGGAAGGGATGGAGGGAGGGGGAGGGAGGGAGTGAGAGGAGGATGAGGAGGAGGAGGAGGAGGAGGAGGAGGGGAGGAGGAGGAAGGAGGAAGAGGGGGGGAGGGCTCGAACGCTCGGGTCGAGAAAAAGGGGCTCCATTCCTCGACGACCTCTCGACCACTCCAGTCTCGAAGAAAAAAAAAAAGGATTTTTATGTTTCTGCTTACCGAGAAGCCTCGAGGGGCGCCCGGGCGACCGGCGCCCCCGCTGCAGGCCACCGACCTGCCGGGGCACGGAGACCGCGGCGGCAGGAGGAAGAGGAGAGGAGAGGAGGAGGAGGGAGGAGGAGTAGTGAGGTAGGAGTAGGATGGGAGAGGGGCGGAGGAGAGAAACGAGGAGGACGGATGAGGATGAGATTGGGGCGAGGGGATTAGGTAGTGGGGAGAAAAAAGGAGAGAGGAGGAGGAGGAGGCGGAAGGGGAGGAGGAGGAGGAGGAGGATCGGCTCCCAGTCTGGTCGGGCTGTTGTGGCCAGGAGCTCTTGCCCGGCGTGTCGCGGCGGCGGCCCCGGCGACGGAGCGCAGCCGCCGTGCTCGATTCCCCGAGGCCAAGCCAGGCCAACAAGCAGCTCCCCGAGCCCAGAAAACCTCGAGCCT